TACCACCACTATTGGATTGATTAGCAGAATACTCTCAAATTATACAGACATAGAGACAGATCCTGGCTTGTCCTCTCAAATAACCATGTGACCCAGAGCAGGTCAAATGAGCCTCAGCAGCCTTAACAGTAAATTGTGGGGGCGGGGTGGAAACAAAACAAAACCTGCCACCCTGTGGTCTGAGAATTCACTGCTATTGTTGTCAGGACTCAACCCCTCCCCAGGAGGTGAATTTTTCAGCTGCCAGAACTGTGAGGCTGTGGCTGGGTGCTCATCGGGGCTGGACCCCGTGGCTTCTGGGGATGAGGACAAGCCCTACAAGTGTCAGCTCTGCCGGTCTGCCTTCCGCTATAAGGGCAACCTGGCCAGTCACCGCACGGTGCACACAGGTAGGGGAGGAGCAGGGAGAAGACCCTGGCCTTGGTGCCCCCTGCTATTCTTCTTGACCTCCCTTCCTCTCCGCCTCCAGGGGAAAAGCCCTACCACTGCTCCATCTGCGGAGCCCGCTTTAACCGGCCGGCTAACCTGAAAACGCATAGCCGCATCCATTCGGGAGAGAAGCCCTATAAGTGCGAGACGTGCGGCTCGCGCTTTGTACAGGTACGGAGTCAGTTTCAGAGCCTGATCGCAGGCAAATTTGCGAGAAGGTGAGGTGGGCCGAATGGGGAGGGTTCCGTCCCTCCCAGGGGCGCGGCCTGAGATTCCCCCCTTTCCCAGGTAGCGCATCTGCGCGCGCACGTGCTGATCCACACCGGGGAGAAGCCCTATCCTTGCCCCACCTGCGGGACTCGCTTTCGCCACCTACAGACCCTCAAGAGTCACGTTCGCATCCATACCGGAGAGAAGCCTTACCACGTGAGTACCCGACCTGGCCTAGCCCTGTTGCTAAGTCGCTTCAGTCATGTCCAACTCTGTGCGACCCCATAGACGGCAGCCCACCAGGCTCCGCCATCCCTGGGATTCTCCAGACAAGAACACTGGAGTGGGTCTAGCCCAAAGTCTTGGAATTACCTCCTGTTTACCAACGGGCGGGGCTCTTAAAGGAGCGGGCCTGGAGGCCTTTAGATCGAGGCTAGGTGGGCGGTGTCCTTGTGAGAAAGGGGTGGGGCCGGAGATAGGGGTGGCAGTCCTGGATGGGGCGCAGTCCTCCTGGAGAGCAGGTGACAGGTGGAAAAACGCTTTCCTGAAGGGGGGCCTCCTAGGCCTTCCCCCAAGGATTTGGGAGGGTGTGGGGACTCAAGTGAAAAGTGAAATCGCTCAGTCGTGTCCTACTCTTTGCGACTCCGTGGGCTGTAGGCCACCAGGCTCTTCCGTCCGTGAGATTTCCCAGGCAAGAATACTGGAGTGGGTTGCCATTTCCTTCTCCAGGGGATCTTCCCGACCCAGGGATCGAACCCGTGTCTCCCGCATTGCAGGCAGACGCCTTAACCTCTGAGCCACCAGAGGTTAAAACCACCTCTGAGCTATATCCCCAAGAGCTTCTCTCAGGTGGAGTGCTAGGCGGTTCTCCCTCGCTCAGCATTTAAAAGGTGGTCGTGAGTGGGGAAGAGACCTGACCCGGCTGTCATCCTACAGTGCGACCCCTGCGGTCTGCATTTCCGGCACAAGAGTCAACTTCGGCTACATCTGCGCCAGAAACACGGAGCTGCTACCAACACCAAAGTGCACTACCACATTCTAGGGGGACCTTAGCCGAGTGCCGCCCCGGCCCCACTCCCTTCCCGGAAGACGGAAAGCTGCGGCTCACGCCTGGGTTCGCTGCCAGGCTTGGGCGTGGGGGTGTGCGAGGCCCCTGGATATCAGCGACGGCCACCACCTTTAATTTCTCACTGCGGGGAGCAGGGGTGGGAAATACTGGCTTGATCTGCCTGTTTTGCTGGTCAAAACCTCTTCCCCGCAATCGACATTGTTTCTGAGCAGAGAACAAGCTAGGAGCTGGAGGAGCAGAGAGACTGGAAGCCTGATTTCCTTAAGGAATCAGGCCTCCACCTGCAGCCCCCATCTCATTTATCTGTAAATATAATTTATTGAGGCTTCTGGGTGGCACCAGGGCCTTCATACTATTGCATTTCCCATGTCCCTGTTCTACAAGTGTGATCAAAAGTGACCTGAAACTCGGAATGTGAGGTCACAGCTCTGCTGGCAGAGATTAGCACTTGGCTGCCTCCTTTGGCTTGAGTGTTTTATATTATAATTGTCTTAACTTTTATCTTTAGAATTGTTCTTTTCCCACTTGCTTGTTGGTTTGTTTAAAATGGAGAAAAGGGTTCCCTGTGCCCTGCCCCTTCAATTCTAGGTCTGGAACCTTTATTTGTTCTAGGGCAGCTCTGGGAACATGTAGGTTTGTGGAATTGGGTCAGGAACCCTCTCTAATATTCTGAATATTGTAGGTTTTCTAGCAGGCTAGCACTGGATATAGATTTTTTCTGTTCTTCAAGGAACCTATGATGAAGTGGAGGTAATATATACCTCCTGGAGGCAGTTGGTGTGGGGCCTTTGTCAGTCCTGGAAGTTGGGGGATGACTTGAGAGGCTTTCTCTTAGGCCTCTGACTGTCCTATTAGTCTGGTCACCTAGGTTTGGCTCCATGGTAATTTTGGTTATCTGATAGAACTCACCCAGGAGCTTGAGTTGAGCCCACAATTCTCCCACTAGGGCCTGTTCTCAGCACGAAGTTGATCCCTCCATGCAGGAGAGATCTGCAATTCCATATCAGAAATGATGCAATCTTTTCTGAGTCTGCCCAGTCTCTAAGAATGCTATGACCTAGGGGAGAATTATCTTGAGTAAAGACTATGACCCTTCCTTTACTGCAGAGCCATCTGGGTTAGAATGTTCCTTGGGGGTTCTACATGAGATGAACCTCTTCTTCCTTTAGTAGGTATTTGGACATCTTCTGGCAAGTGTCCAGATTTCAGAAATTTCTTTGCCTCTAGAAGTCACAGGTGCTTGGTAACTTTCTTACCTTAGAAAAGCTGAGTCTGTGACCTGGTCTTTCCGTCACTACATTCCTGTCTGGAACCAGTGAAAGCACTAGAACCTTCCACAGGGAGAGAAAAGGGGCTGAGTTCCATTATGGATTTGCTGTAGTTGGGATTATGATCGAGATTAGTGTTGGGATTAAAGATTTAAAAGACTGACTGATGGACCATCTAGTTAACCAAGTATCCCGTAGGATTAAGAGGCTGTTTGAGGGACACAGTCTCTGGTATAGGCCAAGTAGGTAGAAAGTTAGAAATGGGTTGCCTCTTAACTGTGTGGAGCGTCTGGAATGTTAGATGATACTCTGAAGTATTACAGTCCTGCCCCTGTTGCTCTGGGGCCTGTTGGTTTAGGGACATGGGGTAGAAGGTAAGAAGCACTTTGAATTTGTGGGATGGAGCTTCCGCAAGACAGGTCAGTCCTAGTGGCTGTCACTTGGGGACTGGCTAGAAAGCTACTTTTTCCCTCTTTACCTCTTAACCTCAGTGCAGAATTGAAGGAGGGAGGGAAAGCAGAGGAAAGAGTTGAGAAGAAACTACATATATATATATATATTTTAAGGAGATTGGATGGGCAGGTGGATAGTGCCAAGGGGTGGAGATGTTAGATCGTGCAAGATCAGAATCATGGAATAAAGAAGCCTCTCTGTGCTGCCTGTTGTGTCCTAGGTTCTTGCCTGTGGCGATCTGGGGACTGGGGAAAGAGGGTTCTTCCTCATGGATACCATCTTGGATTCTGTGCCCATCCCACTGTCGCATCCATTTTAAGTAGTCCTTGTTCTCCTCTTCCCTGCCCTTGCCTTCCGGCTCATTGTGTAGGAACCAGTGACTTCATGAAGTCTCTCCGGAGCCACCTGCATCCTGCTGCTCTGAAGTCACTTCCTGCCTGAGGTGTGGAGGCAGCAGGGAGAAACCAGGAAGCCACAAATAATACCAAGATGCTGGGGGATGCATCTGTGCAGGGGAACTTAATGCTTGGGACACCCCCTGCCACCACGGAAAATGGATAGGACTTGGGTCCCCTAAGGACAACAGGTGTTAGAGGGGGCAGTGAGACCATGTGGTTAGAGCCAGTGTGCCAGCACTACCCTCCCCCAGCAGTGATGTCTTGGAATCCATCCAGTGCCTAGTACTCAGTTCTCTTCCACCCTTTCTCTTGTCCTATGTGTCTTGGATGCACAGCTTTGTTCTGCCCAGAGGGTGAAGGGTCACTAATTCTGATAAATTACCTCCCTCTTGGACTTAAATTCCTCATCTGTGAAATAAGTCCATTAACATGGAAGGAATAATTTCCTTCCAACATTTATAGTTTGTGGTTGTGTGTGTCAGTCTTTTAAAACCCATGACATGGGTTAGATGTTTTTTAAGCACAAAACAAACTAAACTAAAACCTCCCTTCCCCTCCCTCTATGGCTTATCCCCTGTTTAAAATAAGACCAGCTAATATTACTTATCTCCTGCTTCATGTGCATGCTAAGTCACTTCAATCATGTCTGACTCTTTGTGACCCTATAGACTATAACCCACCAGACTCCTCTGTCCACAGGAGAGATTCTGGGATTCTCCAGGGAAGAATACTGGAGTAGACTGCCATGCCCTCCTCCAGGGGATCTTCCTGACCCTGAGATCTAACCCACATCTCTTACATCTCCTGCACTGGCAGGCAGGTTCTTTACCATTAACACCACCTGGGAAGCCCAAGGCATTTTAGTGTATAGATTTTCTAACTCAACCCCCTGACAACCTAAAAGTAGGAACTATTATTAGCCTCAGTTTACAAGTAGGGAAACCAACTGAGAGATTCAGTATCTTGGCCAAGTTAATAAGTGATGAAGCCAGGACTGGAACTACAATTTGATTCTATAGACTGTGCTCTTAACTATTATGTTATATAGCCACACCAACTTCTACATCTTTGATATAGTCCCTTCTGGCCAAAGTTCTGACTCCACTTACAAAAAAAAAACAGAGAGAGAGAGAAAGAAAGAAAAAAACTTCTTGGGTATGACTATTTTTATTTCCCACATATAAAAAAGTATAAGGCTCAATATGCTTTTTAAAATTACACAGCCGCCCTCCCCACCCCAGCCCCACTTGTCTGACCCCTTGAGCTCAGATTTCAAGGTCAGTGTTTTAAGGAGCTTGAAGCCAAATTATTAGTGCTACATAAGGTTGGAAGAACTGGGTACTGGTTGGGAAGGAAGGGCTGATTGCACCAGTGGTCATGGCTTGTCTCTTTATCTACCCCATCATGGGATCGAAAAATGTGGTTAGGAAGTGGTTGTTAACCAGAGGGCAGAGGGAAAGTTTCCAGCCCCACTGAAGACGGGTGCTGGTGGGGCTCTGAGTGAGTTCACAGATGCACTTCCTCTGCCCAGTTATTTTTGGTTTCTGTGACCTGTAGGTTTCCTGTTAGTGGGAACAGAAGGGACAGGAACAAGTTCCCATTACAGAAATATATACCAGGAATCGAACAGCCCATTCTCCTCTTTCCTTGGCCTCTGAACCCTCTCCAGGATCCAGGCATCTAGATTTAACCTTATCTCATAATCGCTCTACGCCCCCCACCCCCGCTCCCGCCCCGCGTTTCAACTCCTGGACCCTTCATTAAATATGTTTTCCTCTCCTGAACCAGTTTATCCACCACCAACCCTCACGGACTCCTTATGTGCGCATCTCTGTGCAGAAGTCCGGTTAAATTAGCCCGCTAGGTGGACAGGAGACCGAAGCTGCTGCAGGGCACGCTCCTGGGTCACGTGGGGCCCAACTATTTGGCCTCCGAAAGCCCCTCTTCACGCGTGCGCCCCATTCATTGCCCAGTACAGGACAGGTTCTAAACTCCGCCCCGTCCCTCTGGCTCCGCCCCCTGCTGAGGAGTTCCGCGTCCTTATTGGTGAGCTTCGACGCAGACCCTGGCTGGCCAGGTGCTAACACTTTCAATGAGAAGATAGATAACCCACCTGGAGACGGGTGCACCTCAGGGGTGGGGCCCAGTTCAGCCACCTCCCCCGTCTGTCCCGCCCAGGCCTCGACTCCAGACTTGAAGCCGGCGGAGCCACGCCCCCCGGCGCTGAACGTGGGGGCCAGCGCGGGCCTAGTCTCCCCATTATAATCGCCCCCACTAGCGGAGAGCGCAGGCGTCTCACGCAGCCTCTGCAGCTTTCAAGACCTCGTTGGTACTTTCCTCTCTGCCACCTCGCCTCTCCGGCGCGGCCCCAAGGTGTCCGGCTGGGTGGGTGGGCGGGCAGAGGTGGAACGATCCGCTCCGCTCCCGAAGGGGCTTAAAGAGGCAGCCCTGGTACCACCAAGATGGCATATAGGGCCGAGCCCCCCGACGGGGGCTGGGGATGGATGGTGGTGCTCTCAGCGTTCTTCCAGTCGGCGCTGGTGTTCGGGGTGCTCCGTTCCTTCGGCGTCTTCTTTGTGGAATTTGTGGCGGCGTTTGAAGAACCGGCCGCACGAGTCTCCTGGATCGCCTCCATAGGAATCGCGGTGCAGCAGTTCGGAAGTGAGTGCTACGCCTGGGTCCCTCGACCCTCGGAAGGGAGTGGGGGATGGGGGGACAGTAAAAGACATGGGGAGGGGGAGCGGTGCTGGAGAAGGACGCCTGAGATCTCGCAGAACTTTCTCTTCTCCAGGCCCAGTGGGCAGTGCGCTGAGCACGAAGTTCGGTCCCAGGCCTGTTGTGATGACAGGGGGTATCCTGGCTGCGCTGGGGATGCTACTCGCCTCCTTTGCTACCTCCTTGACCCACCTGTACCTGAGTATTGGGTTGCTCTCAGGTGAGACCCTGAGCAGGGCTGGTGAGTCAAAACCTGAGTCTTTTTGGCCTCAGGACTTGTTACTTTCTCCCTGCTCCTTCCGAAAGACTTAAGGGAAACTCAGAAAGTGTTTTGGCTAGCACCTCTGCCCTGAAGGGAATTCTTAACAGAGGTAACTAAAGTGATAAACAGGTTAGGGGAAATTGGGAAATCAAAGATGCAAGGCAAGGACTATTGGAACTGGAAGGTAAAAGGAATAATTACTGTAAAGTTGTGTAAGATACTGTGGCTGTGAAATAAACATTTCTATTTTACATCCTATTTACAGATGCGGAAAGTCTTTAAAGCTTATGCAATTTGGCAAAGGAAGTTCACACAGCCAGCAACGGTAGAGCCCAGGTCTAACTCCAAAGTTCTGTGGTAGTGACCATACAAACATTGTCTCTAAGCTTCCAGAGTCTGCTAAGTTGTATGACCTCCATTTTGCAGATGAGATTGAGGTCAGGAGGTTGAGGTACACAAGGTCATACAGCTGGAAAGTATTGAGCCAGGGGTGTGATTTAGGCCTGTGCTCCATTCTGTTGCTGGGCAGTGTTGAGTTCTTTAGTTCTGAGTTTCTTAAGGGGTCCTCAACTCAACCCCCATTTTTTCCTTTTTGACAGGATCTGGCTGGGCCTTGACCTTCACTCCAACCCTGGCCTGCCTCTCTCGTTACTTCTCTCGCCGGCGATCCCTGGCCACCGGGCTGGCCCTGACGGGCGTGGGCCTCTCCTCCTTTGCTTTTGCCCCTCTCTTCCAATGGCTGCTCAACCACTATGCCTGGCGGGGGGCCCTACTTCTGGTGTCTGCCCTCTCCCTTCACTTGGTGGCCTGTGGTGCTCTTCTCCGTCCACTCTCCCTGGCTGAGGACCCTGTCGTGGGTGGCCCTGGGGCCCAAATCACCTCTCTCCTGCGTCACGGCCCCTTCCTCCGTTACACCGTTGCCCTCACCCTGATCAACACTGGTTACTTCATTCCTTACGTGCACCTGGTGGCCCATCTTCGGGACCTGGGTTGGGACCCACTGCCCGCTGCTTTCCTCCTCTCGGTGGCGGCTATTTCTGACCTCGTGGGGCGTGTGGCTTCTGGGTGGCTAGGCGATGCTGTCCCAGGGCCTGTGGCAAGACTCCTGATGCTCTGGACCACCCTGACTGGGGTGATACTGGCCCTGTACCCTGTGGCTGAGGCACCCACTGGCTTGGTAGCCCTGACTGTGGCCTATGGCTTCACATCAGGGGCCCTGACCCCAGTGGCCTTCTCCGTGCTGCCTGAACTGGTGGGGACTGGAAAGATATACTGTGGCCTGGGACTGGTACAGATGGTAGAAAGCATCGGGGGGCTGCTGGGGGCTCCTCTGTCAGGTAAGGGGAATAGGATTTCCAGGTAGGCCAGGGCTACTGTGTTTTACCGGGGGTGGGGGGTGGGAGGGGAATTGACATAGTGTATGTTAATACTGCCCTCTGCCATGGTAGATACACAGCTGATATGGTCAGTGATAGCAGCCTTGAAACAGGTCCAGGGGAAAGAAGCTGGTGCTGTGGAAAGATTAAGAGGACCTCTGATGCACCGTTGGCAGTGTACCTACAGCTGGGGTTTTCAGAGGACTCTGCCAGACATAGCATACTGGGCCCCAGGCCAGGGGTCTGAGCCATCTGGCCAAAGTTCCCCATGCTTCAGAAGCCAGAACCTTCAGACTCTTAATGTTTTCCTCTAACTATTAACTGAAGGCATGGAAGGGAAAGAAAGGTACAGGTGTGGCTGACTCGATCTGTATCCCCAAATCTGGGGATGCCCTAAACTGGCTAGTTTTTGAAGGCAGGAAGGAGGTTGAAGTGACATTTTGAAGCCCCTTGGGAAGCCAGAGTTCTCAAACTCACCCAGTCTGAACTCTTCCAAGATGATGGGTTAAGGATCATTTTCATCCCTCCACCCCAAAATGTGTCAGAGCCATCAGTCCCAGGAAACAGATCACCCATGTGTATTCTTTTTCTCTCTTGAACCTAGGCTACCTCCGGGATGTGACAGGCAACTACACAGCTTCTTTTGTGGTAGCTGGGACCTTCCTTCTGGCAGGAAGTGGAGTTCTCATCACTTTGCCCCACTTCTTCTGCTTCTCAGCTCCTACCTCCAGGCCCCAGGACCATGTAACAGAGGCACTGGATACCAAAGTCCCCCTGCCTGAGGAGGGGCTGGGAGAGGATTGAACTCCAAGAAGGGGCAGACAGACCCACAAAACAAGCGGTTTTCTGCCCCATCTTGGCACCCACAGAACCACAATGCCTTAAGCATCCTGATCTGCCCCCCTCCCCACCCTGCCCCTCAGAGCAGGCCTGGGGCTCCTGCAATGTGTGTGCCAACCCTTTGTATTTTCTCGAGGATTCTTGTCTCTTGTTTGCTCCCACAACCTTTTCAGAAGGATCCAGTTCAGCCTGCTCCACTGAGCTGTGAACCAACTGTGGAAAATCAAAGGCCAAGATACCTATCATAGTTTTTTTTACATGTGATCTCTAGTGTTGCCCTCCTTGGAAAAGATCTGTCTTTGGGATAAAACTGAATAAGAAAACTGGACAAAATTCAGAAACTCAGAAAGTGCTTGGGCCCATAAGCCTGAGTGGGCTGAATGGGGTCACACCAGGGAATGGAGGGGAGGTATCCAGGACCTCTGGTGACCCAGAGCATTTAACCCTGGACTCTGCTCTCTGGACCACAGTTCCTCCCACTTGCCCACTGACCTCCCTCTTTCCTACTCTCCCCTGTAAATTAGAAATTAAGAAAATGGTGTGAGATGTGGGAGAGGGGTGCTAGTTTGGAAAGGAGAGATATAGCTAAGAGTGATGAAGTCTGGGATGCTTGTATTTTCCTCAGGCCAGTAAAGGGGGACTGAAATGCAGAAAGACTTCTCTGGGAGATGAGGACGGGGCAGCTAGCACTCATGAGCACCCCCCTCCCCCCAACAAACCTTAAGCAGACAGACAGTTCCTCAAAGGTTTCCTGTTATAATGGCAAGCAGTTGGGCATAGAGAAATGGACTGACAGGACAAACACCCTTCTCACCTGCCATGGCTTGGGGGGATCCTGTTCCCATCAACCAGCTTTTCTGGATATCTTAAGCAGAATGTTTGCAGCATAGATTGCCAAACAATTGGAGCTTGCAGGAAAAGCAGATAAGTCTTTATTGGGGGAGGGGCTCAACAAGTGGTGTCCAGAGTGGAGTGAGGGTGTCCCGGGGAGAGCAGGGCAACCTGAGGTACCGGGAGCAGCTCCCCCATCTCAGGGGGTGGAGTGCCTGGACGTGAAGCCGGACGGCAGGAGGGCAGCGACTTGGGCAGCCCCAAATAGATGAAGCTGCCAGAAAGGACGAAAGAGCCGCACGTGAGGAAGGAGGCGGTGAAGTCTCCAGTCTCATCCCTTAGGAAGCCTGAGAGGAGACAAAGGAACTTAGAGGCCTGGGTCCCCAGATGCAGGTGGGGGGTGGGGGTGGCGAGCGGATCTGCTTGCTCTGGGCCTTACCTGACAGGGGAGGGCCTAGAAGCCCCCCGAGGCTCAGCAGCAGCATCACCAGCCCGGTGGCCTGTACCACATTTCCGATGCCCACCAGCTCCGGGAGCACACAGAAAACCAACGGGGCGTAACTTCCGGCGCTCAGGCCGTAGGCCCCAGCCGCGGCCAGCAGGGGGCCCCCCCAGCCGTCCTCGTTCCCCACCACCGGCACCAATCCCACCGCCAGCAGCCCAAGGCCTGTCAGAGCCCCGAATATCGTCAGCAACCGCGGGAGGGGCACCCAACCCTGGTCCGCCAGCCAACCGCAGAGGAGCCGAGCGCCGATATCCCCCATCGCAGCCGCCGCCACCACTAGCGCCGCCCCATACCCGCCCAGGCCTCGATCTAAAGCGTGAGGAGCCAGGTGCACGTAGGGGATGAAGTAACCGACCCCCACTAAGGCCGTGCCGAGTGTCAAAACTAGGAAGGCCCGGCGTCTGAAGAGACCGAGGCCGAGGGCAGCTAGAGGGCTTCGGGGTGGGGCCAGGGGGTCGCCAGGAAGAGCAAGGGGTCGTAGCAGGGCGCCACAGGGGGTGAGGTGGAGGGTGACGGCTCCGAGGAGGAGCAGGGCGCCCCGCCAGCCGAAATTATCAAGGAGGAGCTGTAAAGCGGGCGCCAGGAGCAGCGAGGAGGCCCCGTTGCCCGTGAGTGCCAGCCCCACGGCCAAGACTCGACGGCGGGAGAAGTAACGGGAGACGGTCCCCAGGGCAGGGGCGAACACCAGGGCCCAGCCGGAGCCTGTGAATGGATAGGACCGGGTAAAGAGAGAAACCAGGGATGCCAGGCCCTGCCATCCCAGCTCTGTTTCTCGCAGGAGGCCCCCGCCCTCTTGGCTTCCGTACCCGACAGGCTCCTAGCTCCACCATCACCCCCTTAAGAACCCGGGTATCCCTCTCCCTCACCAGCAAGGACGCCCAGGCCAAGGTAGAGGTGCAGCAGACTGTGGGCGAAAGCCGAGAAGACGAAGCCGAGCGATGTGAGGACGCCCCCAACCATCACGACGGGGCGCGCCCCCCAGCGGGTGCTCAGGGCACTGCCCACTGGGCCTGGAAGGGGGCGGAGTCAAGGGAAGACACGCCCCCCTGGGCCCCCAAACTCGCTCCAATACTTCTCATTGGCTGTTTTCCTGGCCTAAACTTCTCCCCCGCCTTATAGCAACACCACCATCACCACCCCACCCCGCTTCATCTCAAGACCTACTCAGTTTTAGAACTTAGAATTCTAAATTCGACCTAGCTCTGAAGGTCGAACTCTAAAGGTCGATTTTTCTAAGGTTGTTTGGTAACCAGTCAGGTGTGTCCCCTACCACTGCTCTCACGGTAACTCCCCGGACCCCAGTTCCTGCCTTCCACCTCGGGGCCCCTCCTTACTGGCTGCCTGCTGCACTGCCAGGGCCAGGGCGCTGACCCACGCCGTCTCCTGAGCGTTTCGGTCAAAATACTCCGCGAAGTCAGGGAAGGCGAGGCCCAGGGAGCGTAACACCCCGTAGGAGAGCCCATTCACCGCGAACCCTGCGGCCACCACCACCCAGCCCCAGCCCCCGTCCAGGGGTCCGGTTGGCTTGGGGGTCATCGCCTCCTGGGGAAGGCGGAACATCTATCAGAGAAGTCGCCACATCTGTGTCTTGTTTAGGGACCTGAGCGTACCTGGGATCCAGCCCTGAGCACGAGAGGACGGAGGCGGGGGTTGTGTGTGTGTGTGTGTGTGTGTGCGCGGGGGGGGGGGGGGGGGGGGGTGATGTTCGGGCCTTGGGCTAGAACTCCAGGTTCGCGCAGTACAAGAGCGGGATAACAGCCAGATCCCCCATTTCTGAGACTCCCCCTCCCACACACTCCAGGTTCCCCTTACCCGACCTCTCCGGCGATCCGGGGGAGGGGCAGGGCGAAGAATGGCTCGGCCCGGTTTTCTCCCCGCTTCCCCGGAGGGCGGGGCCTTAGAGAGGAGCAAGTGCAGAGATGGAGCCCCACTTGGACAGGCTCTCAAGGTAAACAGAGAGCGCCACAGGGAGCCTGAGCCACCTGGGGCGCGGGGGGTGCCGAGGGCGGGAGCGAGCTGAGACAGCCAATCCACCGAGCCGAGTCCCACGGGGATTGAATTATCCATTTACACCCCCAATCCCGAGGAAGGGAGGGGCGAAGAATGAACACCTCCCCGCCCATGCCCACGCACCTGCCGCTGGCTGCGTACCCGGGAGATGCATGGATTGCAATCGCCAGCCTCCCCAACGTTGGTAGGCAACGCACGGGGTGGTTGCGTGGTCCCACAGGAGTGGGACCCATGGGGGTGGTCCTCCCAAAGCCTGAGGGGATGAGTAGCTCCAACGTTCTCAGGGAACGTTGCTAGAGAACCTGGTAAACCTCGGGTGTTAAATCACAGACCTCCATGCAGTGCATGTTGCGTGCTCAACGACAATACGTCCTCCAGGACAGAGCGGCAGGAAGAAGACTTCCTTGTGATGGGCCAGGGACATATACACGTCATGTTGCATCTTCACAATCACCCTGTGAAAAGGTGTTCCCCCCATTTTACAGATGAAGTCACTGAGACTTAGAGAAGTTAGGTGATTTGCCCAAATCACCAAACTTAAAAAAAAAAAGAAAGAAAGAAAGAAAGAAATATTTGAGTTTAGGTCTGTCCAACTGTGGAACCATCCAAGAACAGACCTACTACTGAAATAGAATCTGCCACCACGGAGGGAAACGTCCTGGAGACAATTTGATGCCAGACTGACCTGGAAATGGTAGATTGATTCTGAGCTACGGGTTTCTGGGACTAGAAAGTATTCTTGAGATCAGAATCCCTGAAGATTTAGACGGGAATTTTAAAAACAAAGTAAGAAATCTGAAAATTGAACCCAGGTATTGATTTCTTGGAAAAACTTTCCTTTTTACATTAAGATTAAGGTTATCATTGATTTACTTTGAAGCAAGGGATGTGTTCTCTGGTGTAATTATTAAACAACATCAGAGAAAACCTGGCAGTTTGCATTACAGTTTGGCCGACAGCCACATTACCCAACAGCCACATGGTGGCAGTGTTTCCTAATTGTTGAGAAACTCCGCAAATAAAAACAACTTAATTAGTGAAACTGTAAACCTAACAACACAATATGGTCTTCGAGGGCTCTCTACTGCCTATAAGAGGAAACAAAAGAAAACAAAACAAAATTCTCTACTTTGGATAAAAGCCTTTCCCAGTCGGAGGTAGATCCAGACTATCTTTCCATCCCAGCCCCCCTCCCCTCTTTTCTATACTCTTCCATCAGATATTAGCAGCTCACCTGCTCTTTGGGCATTTCTAGCTTTTTATCACTCCTTAAATTTTGAATATGTCATGCTCTGTGCTTGAACTGTCCTGGAGGGGGTACAGGAGCCTTGCCATGTACCTACCACCCTAGGAAAGTGGTCTCACCAGTTTCCCTAGTTTCCTAGTCTGGGGTGCTATTGTGAAAGGCACCTGGAAGGCAGAACCAGCCTATCCTCAGGCAACAGGGAGGGCAGGGACCCCACTTCCAGCAATGGCCCGTGAGGACCCTGCTCCAAGCTGAATGAGGCCAAGTGAAACAAAGCACTCCCTCCCCATGGTGAAGTAGAAATGCAGGGGGATGAAAGAGGAGACTGGGTCTTTAAGGCCTGGGAGTTGTACAAAGTGATGCTGAGCACCTTTACAAGATACTTATGAACCAACACCACTATTCATGCCTGGAGAATCCCGTGGACAGAGGAACCTGGCAGGCTACAGTCCATGGCGTTGAAAAGAGTCAGATGCAATGAATGACTGAGCACACAAACACATTTTGTAAGAATATTGTGTAAGAATTACTTCTCAATAAAACTGACTTTTAAGGTTAAAAAAAAATCTTAGATTGGTGAGGATGTGGAGAAAAAGAAACACCTAGCACTGTTGATGGAAATGTAAACTGATATAGCCAGTATATAGAAATGCCTCAAAAAATTAAAAATAGAACTGCAATGCTGTGCTGTGTTTAGTCTCTCAGTTATGTCTGACTCTGCAACCATATGAACTGTAGCCCAGCAGGTTCTTCTGTCCATGGGGATTCTCCAGGCAAGAATACTAAAGTGGGTTACCATGCCCTCTTCTAGGGGATCTTCCTAATCCAGGGATCGAACCCAAGTCTCCTTCATTGCAGGCAGATTCTGTACAGGCTATCAAAGAGATATTTGCACTTATGTGTTCATTGGAGCATCATTCACAATAGTCAAGATAAGGAAAGAACCTAAGTGTCTATCAATGAATGAATGGATAAAGAATATTATACTCCATTAGTTTGCTGTCCAGTGGCTAGTCATGTCCAACTCTGTGACCCCATGGACTGAATGAAGCATGTCAGGCTTCCATGTCCTTCACTGTCTCTCAGAGTTTGCTCAAAATTTTGTCCATTTAGTCGGTGATGCTATCCAACCATCTCATCCTCTGTCACCTCCTTCTCCTCCTGCCCTCAACCTTTCCCAATTTCAGGGTCTTTTCCAATGACTCATCTCTTCACATCGGGTGGCCAAAGTATTAGAGCTTCAGCTTCGGCATCAGTCCTTCTAATAAATATTCAGGATTGATTTCCTTTAGGATTGACTGGTTTGATCTCTTTGTTGTACAAGGGACTCTCAAGAGTCTTCTCCAACACCACAGTGTGAAAGTATCAGTTCTTACATGTATATTATCTAGGTGAAACATGTATATTATCTAGGGCAGATAACCTGCCCAGGTTGGGTACATGAGACAAGTGCTCGGGCCTGGTGCACTGGGAAGACCCAGAGGGATCGGGTGGAGAGGGAGGTGGGAGGGGGGACTGGGATGGGGAATGGATGTAAATCCATGGCTAATTCATTTCAATGTATAACAAAAACTACTGTAATGATGTAAAGTAATTAGCCTCCAACTAATAAAAATTTAAAAAAATTAAAAAAAAAAAAAAAGAAAGTATCAGTTCTTTTGTGCTCAGCCTTCTTTATGGTCCAACTCTCACATTTGTACATGACTGCTGGAAAATAGTATATATGATCTATACATCATATATACCTATATATAATATTCTATCATATAGCCAATATATATTGTGCATGCTGAGTAGCTTCAGTCGTGTCTGACTCTTTGCGACCCTATGGACTGTAGCCCACCAGGCTCCTCTGTCCATGGGAATCTCCAGGCAAGAATACTGGAGTAGATTGCCATGCCCTTCTTCAGGGGATTTTCCCAACCCAGGGATGGAACCTGCATCTCTTATGTCTTGTGCATTGGCAAGTGGGTTCTTTACCACTAGTGCCACGTAGGCAGCCCATATCCAATATATACATATATGTATGTATGAAATGACAGCATGTTATTCAACCTTGTGAAAGAAGGAAACCCTGCCATTTGCAACAACATGAATGGAACTCAAGAGCATTTATAACAAATAATACAAACCAGATAGAGAAAGACAATACAATATGGTATCACTTATCTGCAGAATTATTAAAACAAGACAGAAAGTGGAAAAGTGGTTGCCAGGGGCTGGGGGTTGGAAGGGAATAGGAGGAGGTTGGTAAAAGGGAATAAACGTTCAGCTATAAGATGAATAAGGTCTGAGAATATAACATAAAACATGGTGACTGTAGTTGATAACACTACTTTATAATTGAAATTTGCTAAGAGAGTAGAACTTAAGTGTTCTCACCTAGGAAAAATAATAAACATGTAAGGTTATGGATATGTTCATTAACTAGATGCGAGAATCCTCTCACAATGTATACATGTATCAAATCCTGATATTTAAATATCTTACAATTTCATATGTCAATAAAGCAGAAATTTTTAAAAATATCTTAGGAACTCTAGATAGTCTTTTAAAAGTTAAGGGGAATAAAAGAACCTCAAATGGCAGTGCTCTAATCTCCCAGGGTTTATTGCTCTCCTACAAGGAAAAGGGTCCCCCTTCCCCACCCTGCCATTTCCCAGGCAGGGGGCCACTCTCTTAGTTGCCTTTGCTCAGTCCAGCCTCGCAGATCCAGTAGTAGGGTCTTTGGCAGGCATCGTCATTCCACTCACCATCAGGGTAGAAATGGGCACAGTCCTCACCCCCACCCAGCTCATGCCCATGAAAGTCATCCGGCTGGCCTGGCTTCCAATTCCTGGGGAGGGGCGGGGGTGGTGAGAGGAAAAAAACAGCCAGCTAGGAGGAACAGATGGAACAGAATCCAGGCTGGGGAGAAGGGGCTGTGGGTCAGACCCTGGAGGAGCAGAGCTGAAGGAGGAAAAAGGCACAGAAAGCCAAGGCACTCACTTGATGTTGGTCTCATAGTCCGACCCATCCACCCATTTCCAGACTCCATCTAGATCACTGAGGCCCATCCAGGTGAAGTAAGGACGTAGGTTGGCCTGGATAAAATCCTGGGACGACAGAGGGCAGGCAGTGGTGACTCCCCTGACCCTGTCCCCCCAGGCCAGCTCCTTGGACTAGCAGTTCTGAACTTCATGGGTTCATTAAAGCCATGGAGGAGATTCAGGGTGTTGATCCCAATGCTGGGACCAGTGGAACCTCTGAGGATCTGGCTCAGATGGCAGAGGTTGTTAAAACTCCCCAGGTGATGCCAGTGAGACCAGTCTTGGGACCTGAGCTCGGGGGGCTCACCTGCTCCTCTCTGGAGTTGATGACTACCAGGTGGGCATTCTTCAGTTGGCAGTCTCTCTCAGCTTCTGGCCAGGGCTTCCCCAAGGAAGAAAACCAGTAGCAGCGGCCTTCATGCTCCAGCCAGTTGGCGGGACAGCAGGCTGTGTTTTGAGAGACTAAGGGGTGAGGGTTGGGGGAGTGGATGAGATGCTGCCCAGGGGAACGTGGGCAGGAACTGGCTCCAGGCATGCCCAACACAACTCTTACAATTGCTCTTGAGAGCATCCATCTTGCAGGTCAGGGAGTTCATGTTCTTGACCAGCTGCTGGACTCGAAGGAGCATTTCAGAATCACCTGGGATGTACACAGATGGGCAGTGGGTACAGTGCTCTGGGTGTGGCTTCTGCTCCATGAGTCCCTGGAGACCGGGGGTCCATGCCCAGGACCCAGCCTAGGAACGCCCCTGCCCTCCCACATGCCTCATGCCCAGGTAGAAGGCAGTAGGGGCCTGACCTGCTTTGAGTTCTTCCAGTTGCTTCTCCAGCCTGTTCTCCAGAGAAAGCACCTTGTCATTCAAGCTACGGGCTGGAGGGGAGGGCACTCAGCACCTTGTGACTGCTCCCATCCCCCACCCTCCAGTCTGAGAGCCCAGTCCCCATCTCTCCACACCCCCTCCCTGAGGGTCTCTTACCAGCTTGCAGTTCTTGCTTGTGACTTTCCACCTCAGCTTTCAGTGATGTTATCATTTCTTGCAAGTTGCCACCTGGAGAACTCAGGAATCAGCCTCCAGCCCTGCTCCACCCCACCCCACCTCAGTCCAGAGCCCCTTTCATGCCAGGCTCACCCTGGGAGTTCAGTGCCTGGACCTCAGCCACAGTGTTTGAAGTGAAGTTACTGAAACCTGTTCTCAGGGTCTGCAGGTCACTCTGAAACTTGAAATCTGATAGGCAGATGGGACAATCAGTGCTAAGGGTTATCAGGCCCTCTCTGCGCCAGCTTTGGGCCCCTAACATGCATCATCTCATGGGTCCCTTCAGTGACCCCACCCAAAGGACCGGGCCCTATTGTTATCTGATACCGCAAGTGAGGCAGTTAAGGCTCAGAGAGAGGACAGAATCTGATACCATTCCCCAGCTGACAAGTGACAGAGCCAGCAGTCATCCTCATCCAACCACTCTTGCATTCAGCATCCCCACCACACCTCGTTGTTATTTCTCTCTTTCTTGCCCGCCATGTGCCACTCACTTTGGTATCCCATCACACATACGCTGGCCAGCAGGAGGCTGAGGCCCAGGGAGAGCAGGAGGAGGCAAGGGCTGGAGGGGAGCCTCTTCAGGAAGGTCTGGGAAGAAAACAGTGCTGCAGGAGGAGAGGGTGTCAGGAGGAGGGTGTCCAGGTGGTGGGACAGACGGGGCCGAGGATGGGGCCACAGGGACCTCTCAGGGAGGAGGCCGGTGCTGCTCATGCTGGTGGGAGACTGGATGAGAACTGTGGGGCAAGGGGTGTCCAGGTCTCTGACTCTTCATGGACCAGCCCAAGTGCTCAGATACAGGGGCCCCTCACATGCCTGGGGACATGTGTACATAAAGACACACAGACAGAGGACCATCACGATGTGTAAGGTCCTCTCATCAGAGTTGGGAGGTAGCAGGAGGACCCAGAGAGAGCTAGGGGCAGCCCACACTCTAAGCTCACAAGGTTTAGGGCAAGCTCACACTCTAGGGTGAAAACACATTAGAAAGACAGTTTATGCTCTGGCCTTTCCTCAGCGCACAGGAAGTCAGGCCCACTATGGATCTTGAATTCTCTTCAAATTGGGTCCCCCAGAGGCTGGGCCCTGACCCCCTTCAGAGTGGGGGACCCCACCAGGACACATGGTAGAGGTGCAGACATCACACACTTGACAGCAGAAAGCCTTCTAAACATATTAAGAAGAGATTTTAGCAAAGGTTGTTTCCCCTTTCCCTTACCTTCTGTAAACCCCTGGCTTTTTTTCTCACTCTCTGAGTACTGAAGGTCTTCGTACTTCACTGACATGTTTGGACCAACACGGTCTCTGAGACTGTTGGAGCAGAAGTGGAGGCCGAGCCAGTGGGCAGCCTGGGGCAGGAGCGGGATTAAAGGGGGAACGCAGGGACCAGGGAGGAGCTGCAGGCAGGGCTGGAGGTGAGAGAAGAGTGAGGTTTGAAAAGGAACCCATGGTGAAGGCTAGGAATGGGGATGGGCTTGGGTTTGCAGCTGAGGTCAGAAGTGGGGTCAGGGATGGGGTTTGAGCTAGGGTCGGGTTGAGTTTGGAGTGACGGTGGAGGTGAAGTTGGAGCTAAATGCATTGCTAGGACTGGGTCTGATGTTGGGTCTGGAACCGAGGTTGCATCTCCTACTAGGATCAGTACTCACACTGGGGTCAGTACTGGGGTCAGTACTCGTGTTGAAGCCATGAATGGAGATGGACCTAGGCTTGGTGCTGAAGTTGAAAATTCGACAGAGTTGAGGTTCAAGCTTTCGAGGGGTGGGGAGCGGGGCAGGCTGGTGTTAAGAATCAAGCTAACTTGGGAATTCTCTGGCAGTCCAATGGTTAAGGCTCCATGCTTCCACTTCACAGGCCAGGAGTTTGATCCCTAGTTCCTAGGATCCTGTGTGCCCTACTGGGCTGCCCCCAATTTTTAAAAAAAAAAAATGATGTAAGAACTCTGGGGGTGAAGCTGCCACTGGGGTTGGTATGGGGTTTGAGATGTGGCTGGAGTGGGGGCTGAAGACAGGGCTAGAACCAGGCTAGGGAAGGGGTTGACTGTGAGTATCAGTTTGTGACCAAGGTTGTAGCTGCCCTAATTTAATCCAAATCCAATGAAGGGAATAGAGTCTAAAATCTTCACTGAGTCACTAAATCCCCAACCTACCCCCTTATATATCTTACCATTCAGTTCCATCAAAAACCCATGGTCCTTTCTCCCTGCTTTCTCTGACATCCTCCCTGCCCTTTTAGTCTCACATACATACCCAGCCCCCTTACCTGTGAGAAGCCAAGAGGCTGTGATTTTTGAGTTCTTTGTGCAGCAATGACCAGAGGTGGAAAAAACTAAATCCTGGACAGTTGGGATGGGGGTGGCCGATGGAAGAGTCACCTAACTGAGTGAAGACCTGCTGGTCATTGTGTCTGAATGACCAAGAGTCTATAAACCGGGAGACTCTCATTTCCTCAATTTGGGGCAGTAACTAATAAGAAGGAATTGAAATCAAAACTCAGGCAGAGGTGGCATGTGTGGGGCAGCTGGGCTTTTTTAGACCTCCTGTGACTTCCTCAGTTTTACTATTTGGCAGTGAAACATTGGATCAGAAGGAACCAGAGTTCCAGTGTTGCTCTGTCCCACACCTCCTTTCAGTTCCTTGATCTCGGAATTGTTGATGTCTCCACCATTGCAAACCCAGGTCCAGAGGAGCCCTTTGCTCTGCTCTTGCTCAATCCTGACCCAGGGCCCCTGGCATCTTCCTCTGGGGCCTCAGCCAGAAAGCTCCCTGAGTTCTGGCCAGCTCTCCTTGTTATCAAGTCCAAGCTTGCTCTGATCACTGAATGACAGGGATAAGGTGTTGAGGCGAGGAAAAAGACTTTATTCAGAAAGCAGGTGCTGGAATGCCAGAAGATGGCGGAATAATGTCTCAAAATAGCCATCTTCTTTTATAGAACAGAGATGGGGTCAGGAAAGGGGTGAGGAAACAAAGTAAAAAGGCCATTAGTCTTGCAAATATCTCCTAGAATGGCAAACCTCAGGTGGGGATGTGTTGATTTCTTCCTTCCACCCACAGGTGGACAGGGTCCTGAACACTTTAACAGTCAGACAGAGGGGCAGATGCTCTGAGGTAGGTCTTTATGTATAATTATAATAACAAAATCCAACTCAGAGAAACAGTTTCAACATGGAGTGAGAATTGGCTTTTACGTGTCACATCCTCATTTCATTTTAAAGGAGGGAAGAGGTGGCAGAGAATAGGATCTCCTGGCTGGAATGGGAAGGGAAGATCCAGGAGAAAGAACAGAATATATTGAGCATCAAATCCGTGATGAGGATTGTGCCAGATATTTGCATTAACCATTCAATTCCCACAGGATTGTTGGAAGGACTTTCGGATGAAGAACTTAGGTTCAGAACCATCCTGTGACTTGCCCAAGATCGCTTGCCTGGTAAGCTTAAGAGCCAGGATTCCAGCCTAGGGCTGCCCCACACCTTAGCCTGGGCTCTCTCTGAATATACTATCTTCATGAAAGGGGTTCAGTTTAATCCTGTCAGCTCTTAAATCCCTCTAAGGGGTTTTCCCTGAATTCACACACACAGTCTTTTCGTAGGAAAGATTCTTAGTGTCTTAAAAAGGGAAGAAAGAAAGCAAATACATTTCAGATTCTATTTTCTTTTTTTTTTTTACAGTAGATAAAAGTTTTATTAGACTGCAGAATGTTGTTTCATGGAAATTAAGATAAACATGTTTCACACAAGACATTTTGCCATGAAGTGTAGTGAAGTTGCTCAGTCGTGTCCGACTCTTTGTGACCCCATGGACTGTAGCCTACTAGGCTCCTCGGTCCATGGGATTTTCCAGGCAAGAGTACTGGAGTGGGTTGCCATTTCCTTCTCCACAGATTCTATTTTCTAGTTAAATGGGATTGTGCTCTGATAATTACATTTTAAAACTCATTTAACATTGTATCAAGAATACTTGGTCACATCAGTTCACAAAATGTCCTTTATTCCTTTTTTTACTTCATCTCATCTCATAAGCTGTGCCATAATTTATTGACTAAGCTTTTTCCCTTATGATAAACATTTAGGTTGTTTCCAGTTTTCTTTTGCTTTCTTGCTTTGCATTTATTTGGTGTTTTGATTAATATCTGTTATAGGCTGGGTTTTTTGAATCAATGTGGAGATGGAATTTGGGGTACAGTTTAGTTATTAGGGATCAGAACCTGTGAAGGGAAGGGGGAAAAAGGTGGTGGTAGAGGGGGACGTTAAAGAGTTACAAAGATCCCACAAAGCTTTAGCCCATCCGATAGGGGCTTCTAGGGGTTCACACTGCATTGGCTGTCAGAGCTGTGCATTGCTGCACGGAAATGGGGCCTTTATTACCTGATCTCCCTCAGTTACCTGATATGGCTGCCACAGCAGGGGTGGGACCTCAGGGGAGGGGGCTGTGTGCACAGGTTACACACCCCATGACTGGGCACCAAGTCCTTTTTGGAAGTGAGGTCTGGCTGTCTTATTTTTGTGTCTACCCCAGTACTGCTTTGCATTCACACATTAATTGGGGGATAATCAAATTTTTGCTTTATTGAATCTTTCCCACAAAGAGCATGGTATGTTTCTCCATTCATTTATCCAAGTGGTAGGGACAGAATGAAGGGACAAAATAGGTGATTAAATAGTTAATCCCACTAGGGGTTTGTAAGTGGAAAAATATGGGAGACCCCTATAAGTTAATGATTACTCGAGAAAGCAGGTTTGCTTAGCAACAGAACCATGCAACAGAAGCACGGGACATGCCCCAAAACAATAAAACAATGGTTGCAAAGGACCTACGTAATGAGTGCCCAGTGAACTCAGTCAGTTAATGATCCCTGGTACATGTTCTCTGAAAACACAAAAAACAATAATCTGTGGGCCTAGCTTGACCACACAGGGACAGGGAAACTCCCCTGCTCAACTTGGAGGAGGAGCTGATGATGGAAGCATGACGTCTACTCAAGAAAGACAAAGAAGGGTTTCCCCCTCCACTACTTTCCCTTCGATTAAAAAACTGCAGCCCACTAAGTTTTCAGGGTGCAGCATTTCTCGCCCACCCGCTTGTAGGCCCCCAAGTGTCCTAGTCTAATAAATAGCTTATCTACCACTTTGCTCTTGCTGAATTCTTCTCTGCACTGAGACATAAAGAACTACAATACTGGAGCTCTTTGGACCCCACCTGAAATGACATCAATCGGTTTCACAAGCATTTACACATCCATTCAAAAATATTTATTGGGTGTTAATAAAAGAAAATGTCACATATGGAGGTATGGGAAAGTCATTCTGGCTTTTTCATGAGCTAACTTGAACTTTATGGCCAAGTTATGACAGTGTGTTTGTGAACTATCAAATGCACATTATGCATCCACTTTAATTATTTAAAGGGAAGAGCACACTGACCATGTCAAAAATAAAGATGAAATTCTCCTCTTCCTGGGATGCCAGTGCTGCTCCTCCTTTGATCATAAGACTCCCTTCCCAGGTGCCAAGGCCATGCTTCTTGCTGTGTATGTTTTGGTCTGGTTGTTTTTAAAACCTTGAAGAAACATATTTCTGAATTATTTAATGTTCTGACACAATAGAAAACTGTGCTGAAACTCCGGACCAGTTAATTTCTCAGAGAAATCTGAGAAGCTGACTTCGGGGCTATAGTCCTCAGCTGGGCTCAAACAGAATTCTATTCTTATGATGGCTTATTGATTATTTTCACCAACAATGTCTACAATATGCCAGGCCCCCTCCTTCAGAAGAGACATCCTGCAGAAGTAAACCAACAGGTAAGAAAGGACCTGGTCACAAAGCTTATATTCTAGTGGGTGATGGATAAACAGAATAAGAGAGTAAAACATGTATAATGTCACACAGTGATAAATGCTATGGAAGACAATATAGCAAGGAGGTGGGTACAACAAGGTCAATTTTTAACAGGGTGTCAAGACTAGGATGTCAAGAACAAACTTACTGAGGGACTTCCCTGGTGGTCCAGTGGTTAAGAACCCACCTTCCAAGGCAGGGAACATGGGTTCAATCCCTGGTCGGGGAATTAAGATCCCACATGCCTTGGGGAAGCTAAGCCCACAGCAACAAAAGATCCAGCATGCTGCAACTTAGACCCGATGCAATAAAAAAGAAATAATTTATTTTTTCAAAAGAATAATCTTAGTGGGAAGTTGATATCCAAACAAAAGCCCAAAGGAAGTGAGGGAGAAGTAGATGAGGCTCAGCTAGGAAACCTGGAGCTCCAGCTCTTCAGGGCCTGTAGGCTATTGTCACAGATTTGACTTAGAGGGGCAGGCTTTGTGGGGGTGAGAGCAGGAGTGAGTGAGCTGATTTACATTTTAACTGTGACAACGTGACTCTTGTGAATTTCATGAAAAGGGACCAGAGTGGGGGGTGGTGGCGGGAAGAGATGAGAGAGAAATTAGGAGCTTGGGACGAGCATATATACACACTACTACATAGTGGCTCAGCTGGTAAAGAATCTGCCTGCAATGTGGGAGACTTGGGAAGATCCCCTGGAGAAGGAAAAGGATACCCACTCTGATAGTCTGGCCTGGAGAATTCCATGGACTGTGTAGACCATGGGGTTCGCAAAGAGTTGGACACAACTGAGTGACTTTCATTTTCACATATAAAATAGATAACTAAAAAGAACTTCCAGTATCACACAGAAAACTACTCAACATTCTGTAATAACCTATATGGGTAACAAATCTGAAAAAGAATAATATATATACAGTATTTATATAATTGAATCACTTCACTGTACACCTAAAACTAACACAATGTAAATCAACTAGATTCCAATAAAATTAAGAAAAAACTATTGTAATATCTGGGTGAGAGATGATGGTGGTTTGTGCATGGTGCTGGTGAAAAACATTTTGATTCTGAACACATTGTGAAGGTAGAATTGACGGGATTTTTTACTGATAGATTGTATGTGGATCTCACACACACATGACACAGTTCTACTTCTATGCCTCTAAATAAATGAAACTTTGAGCATTTTCCATAAGTTGCTAACTCTCTAGAAAAAACAACTTTCCCCCTGGCTATGCGATGCTGATGTCTTAAGATCTGTCATGACATTTTGTGAATAGGATAATCATTGACAGAAGTTTTGTTTTGCCATCAGGAGCAGACTGATAAAAATTAGTTAAATCTGGTAATTGTGCAGAATTTTTCTTTGGATATGTGGTGTGATTTACTTGATAAGGTTGCCCTACCAAAGTCTGACTCCCTTACAATTTTTTTTTTTTTTTAGTTTCAGCACAGGAGTTTAATTTATATCCCTCTTACTCATTCCTTGTAAATATATTTATTATCCATATCGCTATTTAATTTTTCTCAAAAACTGTTACACAGAGGCTTGTATTGTTTACATATCAACTGTGACACAGGTCTGAAACAGACACTTGTCCCTGTCCTCCTGGGAACCCACACACAAAGAAGCCAACAAATGAGAACTTAGTCAATAATGCTTTTGAAACTGTTTACCTCAGATAAAAGACCCTGATGCTGGGAAAGGTTGAAGGTGGGAGAAGTAGTGGACGACAGAGGATGAGATGGTTGGATGGCAACACCGACTTGATGGACATGAGTTTGAGTAAACTCCAGCAATTGGTGATGGACAGGGAAGCTTGGCATGCTGCAGTCCATGGGGTCTCAGAGAGTTGGACACGACTGAGTGGTTGAACTGAATGAGTGGGAGGATTATTCCAATTATTTTGGGAAAGGGGTGGAGATTTCCAGGATTTGGGCCGCTGACCACTCCTTGGTCTTTTAACAGTGGCTTCGAACCGTCAAGGGACCTCTGAGTGTGTCATTTCACTTGCTGATTGAGGATCAAGGTCTAGTCTTGTCTGCCATCTTGGTCCCATTTGAGTCTAATCAATTTATGTTGTGTCCTTGGTCTATGTCATTCTTTCAAAAGTTGTGCCCTGCCCCTTTCCCTCCTGGTACACTTTCAGTGATCCAGATAATGTTCTTTCTTTGATCCGAGGTGGCATTTAATTTTTTTAGAGTAAGAAAAGATTAAATATGGGGTCCTCCTTGGTAGTCCAGTGGCTAAGACTCTGTGCTCACAATGCAGGGGGCATGAATTTGATCCCTGATCAGGGAACTAGACCCTACGTGGCACAACTAAGAGTTCGACAGCCACATCTAAAGACCCTGCATATTGTGATGTTCGGCAAATTAAGTGGGAGGATGTCTCCTCCAGGCTTCAGAAACAGGAGAGCAGACCCTTGACCTTGCTTCTGCTCTGCATAGACACTGTTTCAGATACTGCCTGGATTCCATGCCTGCCCTCAAGCATGGCACTTGAGATAAGAAAGGGAGTGGCTCTTGGAATTCTAGGGCCCCTGGAGTTTGGCCAGCCGCTCAGGGTTTAATGAAATCCTAAGACTCACAAGATAAAACACACCGCATTGTGACACGGTTAAAGTGAAACTAGTGCTGCATTTTTGCAAGCAAACTGCTGATGGTATCAGTTTGCAGCCTGGGATTACAAGCGGGAGCCCCTGAAACTGCAATCTGAAGTCTCAACACATGGAGTGGATGCACTGCACTTTCCCCAATTAGGATTCCAGATTGCTGTTACTTGGGACTTCCCAGAGCTGTTACTCCAAAATTTGAAATTCATAAGAGCACATCCACAGCTTCCCTGCACTCTTCTTGCCTCTCTCAAATAGCACTCCAGGATCCCAACAAAGTTTGCAGCTTAACTACGGGCTTCCCAGGTGGTTCAGTGGTAAAGAACCTGTTTGCAGTGCAGGAGACACAGGAGACTTGGGTTCAGACTCTGGGTTCAGAAGATCCCCTGGAGAAGTAAATGGCAACCCATTCCAGTATTCTTGCCAGGAAAGTCCCAGGGACAGAGGAGCCTGGCAGGCTACCGTCCATGGGTTTGCAAAGAGTTGGACATGACCGAAGCAACTGAACACATTGGGTAAGAGGAGGCGAAGAAGCGGTCCTCTCCCCTGTATGATTCTCTGGCTACATGCACAAATTCCCCCCAAATCATCTCAACTCCCCACTTCTCACTCTCTGGGAAGGAGAATGGTTTCTTTTTTATCACCTCTTAGTAAGTCCTGACTCCCTGTCTCCTGCTCCTCTCTGAGTTTCTTTTCCAGATTTATTGAGATATAATTGACACATAACATTGTGTGAGTTTAAGATATACAATGTGTTGATTTGACATATTTATAAGTTGTAAAATGACTGTCTCCACAGTATTACCCACTACTTCCAGCCCATTTCATATTTACCATTTGTGTGTGTGTGTGTGGAGAGAATATTTAAGAACTCCTCTGTTAGCAACATTCAGGTATATGATATAATATCATTAGATATAATCACCATGCTGTACATTAGATTCCCCAAACTTGTGAATCTTAAAATGGAAGTTTGTGCCCTTTGACCTGTATCTCCCCATTTCCCCCATTTCTTGGTTCTTCTTGGCTTTAAATGTATTAATTTGTCAACAATCATTCTCACTTTGCAGAATTCAACCAACTTTCTATCGAAAGAGGAAAAGCATCACTTAACTTCCTATTTCCAATGCCCTTGCCACGTCTCTCAGTTCTCTCAGTTCCTTAATCGGGCTTGCCACATTTTTATTTATCCCATTAGTCTTTTCAGAAGTGAGATTTTGGGAATTCCCTGGTGGTCCAGTGGCTAAGACTCTGCACTCCCAATACAGGGGGCCTGGTCAGGGAACTAGATCCCACGTGCCACAACTAAGATCCTATGCAGCCAAAAAAAAAAAGACGTGAGATTTTGTTAAAAGGATAAACAAGCCACAGATTTGGAGAAAATGCTTGCAATCCACGTCTTCAACTAAAGGCTGGTATCTAGATTAAATAAAGAATTCTAAAGTCTCAACAGTAAAAGAAAGAAAATCCAATTAGAAGATGGGCAAAAGACATGAAGAGACATAGTGTCAAAGAGGATATACGGATGGACAATAAGCACATAAAAAGATGCACAATATTAGCTATCAGAGAAATGTAAACTAAGATCATAGTAATATATTTCCTCACACCTATCAGAATGGTTAAAATTCTTTTTAAAAATAGTGTGTGCATGCTAAGTTACCTCAGTTGTGTCTGACTATGTGACCCCATGGACTATAGCTCATGAGGCTCCTCTGTCCATGGGATTCTCCAGGCGAAAATATTGGATTGGGTTGCCATTTCCTTCTTCAGGGGATCTTCCAGACCCCAGGATCGAATCCACATCTTTTAAATCTCCTGCAATGGCAGACAGGTTCTTTACCACTAGCACCACCTGGAAAGCTCAAAGCAATGAATGCCTCTGGAGGCACCGCTGGAATTAAAAATCAGTGATAGCAACCAAATGCAGGTGGGGATGTGGACAAACCTCTCTGGAGGTTTCCATAGGAACCCCAAGGGCAGTGGGCAGGGCAGAACACAGCATGGGACACAGGAGCAGAACTCGAGCAAATAGCATCAATGCCTTCATGATGGCCCCAAGGACCACCAAGCGCCTGGCTCTCAGCCACGCATCCCT